GTAATACTCTAAAACTATAAATTACTTATACATATATCAAGTTAATTCATTTTTAAGTGAATGGATAAACTCAATATTGAGCAAATGAGTAAGTGCTGAATAAAAAGTTGATGCCCCCAGGGAATGTTTTGATTTTATCCTGTGGCATCTTGTAGTTTCTGGCACAGTGCTGAGTACACAGACCCCAGAGCAACACAGTCCTGTGAATCCTTAGGGAACATGATGCTCTGTAAGTGTCTCTCCTCCTTATGGGGAAGACAGAACTTCCTCAGGGTCACAGAATGTTCTCAGAGTTCAAAGAAGCAGGGCCTGGGGTTGTTTTCTTCAGGAATTTCGTGTTCTCTATTGGTTCAGATAGCTAGCACCCGGGCAGGGTCCTGATCACTGAAATCACCAACACAGACTCCCAGCAGAGGGAGCAGAGCTTCCCCATGTGTGGGAGCATTTCTGGCTCCCCTTTCTCTTTTGGGGGGAGCAAGTCTGAAGGAGGCCCCTTAGTGGTCTCTGTCCACTGGAGGTTTTAGCCCCTGCATTGACAATTTCAAGAAAATAACAGTTCCAAGGATGACGCCCTTCTTCATCCAGCAGCTTTGGGCAGCACCTCCTCCTCTACGTGCACTCAGGAATTTTCACAGAGCTTGTTGACAGGGCGTGAAATAGCATCAGACAGAGAAAATGCAGGGGAAAAATGCAGCTTGCTTCAGTCAACTAGAAATGCCCCCTCTCCTGGCAGCTAGTGGATGCTGTCCTCAATTTACACCTTCCTGTTTATAGACTTTGCATCTCTCAGAGAGAGAATTGTGAAATTCTCTCACCTATAGTCCCAATTCCTCAGTTCTCTATGGGAACATTGTGAGCAGGGACAGAGATGGCCTTTGTTCCAGACAAGTTTTCAAAGATGTCTGCATAGCAAACACACTGGAAAGATAAAGGAGTGTTTCCCTTGTGGAAACAAGGAACCTTTGTATCTTGTATAATGCCCCTAAGGTCAAAGTTGGGTGTTTGTAAAGTACAGGGTTCCTCAACTATGGCAGGGACCACAGCATACACACAACACACTGGCACAGCCCCCAGGAACTTGGTGGGTGGGTGGGGGTTGGGGGGACCTGATGAGACAAGCAAGGCCATGCTTCTTGCTGTGCTGTATATGCACTGCCTCTGAGGAGGAGTCTTCTGGTGCTCATAAAACCATAGCAAGTTAACTTGCTAGTTGGAAAGCAGAGTAAAATATCTCAGACCCTTTGTAATTCTTGACACTCCTCTGGTCTATATCTGCTCTTGTTTGAGGGTGTCTCCCAAAAGGTCATGTGTCAAAACCTTAATTTCTCAGTGTTGGCAAGTGAGGCTTATTTGGAGATGCTGGGTTGTGGGGTGAGGTCCTCACAGAGGTATTAATGCCACTCTCACACAGAGCTAGCACTCTGGCAGGACTAGATTAGAGTCAGAGTAGGTGCTTGCAAAGCAGGGCTGCCCTCATGTCTCATCTCTCCTGCACATATTCTCTTGCACCTTCACTTTCTTCCATCTCAAAGCAGACAGAGGCCTTCCTCAGATACTGCACCTGATCATGGACTTCCTACCTTTCAGAACTGTGAGTCAAATATAAATTTTTTTTCATTACCTCTTTAATTGAATTTTTGTGCATTTCATACAATACATCTTAATCATATTTAGACCCCCCCATCTGCACCTCTCCCATAATCCCCCCCCCACCAGATTCCATGCTTTCTGTTATATTTGTTAAGTCCTATTGAGTCAAGTTCATATATCCAGATGTCCCTCAGTAGGCATTCACCCACTGGAGACTGGTCAGCCTATCTAGAGTTACTCCCTTAAAGAAGACCAACTCTCAACCAGCAGAGATCATCAGCTATCAATAGTTTCTTGGCTAAAGTTGGGGCTTCTTACCCTTTCCCCTAGTTCTATACTGGGTTTTTGTCTGCTTGAATTTGCATGGTTCTTGTGCATCCTGATACCATTGCTGTAGATTCATATGAGCTGTTCTCAGGAGCATGGAAAGCTATGTTTCCTTGTGGTCATCTACTACCCTGGGTACTTACAGATTTTTCTGCCAGTTCTTCCACAATGGTCCCAGAGCCCTGAGTGGCAGAAGTTTAATATAGAAGTTCTATCCAGGGACACACACTCTGCAGTCTCTTATTCTCTACATTTTGGCCAATCGTGGCAAAATAAACTTCTTTTTAAAAATATTTATTTTTATTTTATGTGTACAAGTGTATTGCCTGCATATATGTGAGTGCACCCATGTAGTGCAATTCCGTGGAGGTCAGAAGAAGGCATTGCATTCCCCTGGAACTGGAGTTAAGGACAGTTACTAGCCGCCATGTAGATACTGGGAATTGAACCTGGCTTCTCTGCAAGAACAGTCAGTGCTCTAAACCACTGACCCATTTCTCCAGCCCCCCAAATAAACTTCTTAATAAGAAAATTAATTACCAAGTTTCAGGTATTCTGCTCCAGCAACAGAAAAGAGATATCACTAGAGTGCACTATATATTAAACAAAATTTTGAGTAAATCTCTCTTGTCTCCTTAAAAGCAGGCAGATTTGTGCCCTCCAAATTTTTTGATCTATATGGACACCTGTTCAGTGCCCATGACATCCTGCTGGAAGGCCTTCGGGATGGCTAGAAGCTGGGAATGTGTCTCTATCATATTCTTCTGGGAAGCCACTAAACATTGACCCTACGGTAGTGGTAGGCATCCCTGTTCATTGGAGTCTCCACATGCCACCTTCATTTCTTCCATGCCCACCACTTTGGTGAGCCAGAAATACCAGACAAGATGGCAAGAGGGGCTGTAAAGGCAAGCAGACAGGAATGAATGCACTGGAGCTCGGAGGCATGAGGCAATGAAGCTAGTGCTTAGACTTTATTCTCTGCAGTAGAGACATCAGTTCCACACCTTCAGCTAAGGACTGAGTGTCTAGGGTATGGGAGACCTGTATACCTGGAAAACCAAATCCCACTGCCTGGGCATTAAGAATAGAGGCTTTGCCATGCATAAGAACCTGTGTTCAAATCCCACACCCACGTAAAAAAGCTAGGCACAAGTCATCCCAGTGACAGGAAGGCAGAGAGTTTGTGAGTTCTGGGTTCACTGAGAGACCCTGTCTCAATAAATAAGGTAAAAAGGGATTGAAGAAAGCATTCAACATCTACCTGTGTCCCCCACCCCACACAAATGTGCATATACCAGCAAACGTGTTTACATGTGAATACACATAAGCACTCAGAGTAGGAGGTCTGATATCTCCACATCTGGATGAATTCCAGGCTTACCCTTAGGCAGAAAGTACAGGACAACAGTGATCTAGAAATAACCCCTTGCTAGGAAACCCCAGCCCCTCCATCAGGATTTGTCAGTGTTTCACTCTCCTTTTCATTATATTCTTTCTATGGACAGGAGAGACAACAATTACCACTCTGCCCATGTTCTGGTTAACTTTTTGTTAACTTGACACAAATCAGAGTCACCTGGAAAGAGGGAATCTCAATTGAGGAATTTCCTTCATCAAGACTGATCTATTGGCATATCTGAGGGGTATTTTCTTGATTGCCAATTGATGTGGGAGGGCTCAGGCTACTATGGGTGGTGCCATCTCTGGGGCAGGTGGGCCTGGGCTGTATAAGAAAGGTACCGAAGCAAGCCAGAGGAAGCAGGATGTAAGTGGTGTTCCTCCATGGTCTACTATAATATACAATAATAGTATTGTATAATACATAATACAGGATCCTGCCTTGAGTTCTTGTTTTTTTGCTCTGATTTCCCTTACTTTGTTAACCTTTGTTACTTGAAAGTGTAAGATAAAGTAAACTCTTTCCTCTCCAAGTTGTTTTTGGTCAGTGTTTTACCACAGCAACAGAAAGCAAACTAAAACAGTCTGAAAACACAACTGCTGTTATACATGATTAATGCAAATAGGGAGGGGCAGGCTGGTGGAGGGTTCTGGGCCTTGACTCTGGAGCCAGAACTTTCTGACTGTGGATCTTAGCTCTCATACCTATAAACCGATGAGGTCTTACTTCCTTAACCACAATTGGGGGCTGGAGGATCATAGCAGTGACATTGGTCCTGGTCCACCATGGCCATGGCCATAAGGGAGGATGTGTGAGAGCCGCTCAGACATTGCCTCATGCCTTGCTGGAGGCTCAGGTGAGGCACAGGGAAAGGAAGGTCACCCCTTACAAAGCTGCCAGGGTATGCAGATGAGATCCCTTTCACAATAATCCTTTCCTCTGAAGGAGACCCCTTTCCAGCTACTAGAGCAGACCCAGACTCTTGGTGCTGAGTCACGCTAACATGAACAGTAAAACTGGGTTCAGCGGGTGGGCAGAGCAAGCCACATTTTAAGAAGATAGAGTGCTATCTCTAATCTTGAATATCATGATGATCATGACACAATAACTTTGGGCTCTACTAACATGTCAAATGGGGAAACTGGTCCTCAAGAGAGTGACAGTGTGTGTCTGAGTTCACACAGTGAGCTTAGAGCTGCAGAGAATGACCCACCATGAAAGGACACCATTCCTTCCTTGGCAGATACACAACATGACACAGGAGGGTGTGATGGTAATAATGAAAGGTCCTCTTCCATACATTGTCCACTTAATTGTCTACGTAATCTTTATCTCCATATTATATGAAAAGATGTTGTGGCTGCATTAAGCCCACAGGAGGATACAGAGGGAAACTGATTCCCTAGGTGAGGATCCTGACATGGCAATGTGCTTGGTGACATTTCTGCTGTGTGGGGGAGAAAAGGTAGAACCTTTTCTGTGGAGCCTGGGGAGGAGCAGTGTGGCTGGGGACCAGGGAAGGATAGACTTGAACCCTATGGCCTTAGCATTGACCTTATTTTGCAACCATGTGCTGGACAAACATCCTGCTTCTCTTGTGCAATGTGGCCCTGGACCCCGGGCTTATGGCAAATCCCAGGGAGCATTGCTGCTTGTTGAGCTCTGCAGCAGAAGAGTTTAGAATTCAGATTTGGAGAAGACAGGAAGGAGAACGCTTCCTGGAGGCCCAGGGCCATTCTGGGGTCAGTTTCTAGAAGTTTTAGCCTTGGATACAATTGGCTTTTTTTTATTCCTTGGGGACTCTAGACTTGCCCTCAGTCCACAGCTCTTATAGCCCAACTCATTGGCTCTAAGTGTAAGTGGCCAGCATGGTCTTTGCTTGATGGACTGAAGCATTTGGATAGCAGTTCTGAGAAGCTGGTGACACTGGGCTTGGGGTAGACCCCAGCAAGATGCTCCTCTGCTTATCTTCTCTGAACTGTACCTAAGAAATGAAGCTTAGCAGGTAGGCACAAGCCACATGTTCATGCAGATAGAATGCTATTTCCAATCTTGAATCATTATGATGGTTATAACACAATAATTCTAGACTTCTAACATGTCAATGGGGAAACTGGTCCTCAAAATAGTCACAATACGTGTCTGGGTTCCTTCAGAGGAGGAAGGGAGCTGGAACCCTGGTGGTCATTGGGTATGCTACATACCTGGGAAAGGTGTGTTTCAGATGTGTCATTTTATACCAGTCTGGGGGCTGCATTCTCTTACTCTTATTTTACAGTTGGGGGCCCAGGTTGAGTGGTAAGGTACAGAAGCTGTGATTCAGCCTATGGCCTGGGGCCTGTGCTCTCTCATGACACCATCTTTCCCTTGATGCCCAGCTGACTCCCTGGGAGGGTTTTATTCATCTGTCTTGGGGTAACCTGGAGGAGAGGCACATGCTTGGCCTCTAAGCATTGAATGTAGATCTATGGTTCTGTCATGGATGTAAGCTTCTCTCCTGGGTGCCCGGCTTGTTCCCAAACATGTTCTATAACTACATGTTCTTTTAAAATATATTTTGTTTATTGTTTTTATTTTATGTGTATGAATGTATTGCCTGCATGTGTGTAAGTGCACGCGTGTCCTGCAGTGCCCTCATGGGACAGAAGAGGGGTCAGATTCCCCTGGAACTGGAGCTACAGATGGTTGTTAGCCACCATGTGGGTCCTGGGAACTGAACCCAGCTCCTCTGCAAGAGCAGCCAGTGCTCTTAACTGCTGAATCATCTTTCCAGCCCCAACTACATATTCTTGAAGCAGAGAATAATGGTTGCTAGGGGTGACACAAGGATGGGAGAGAGTCACTATAAAGGGTAACACAAAAGAGCTCTGTGGTGAGTGCATAGTTCTGCAGGAAGCTATGTGTGTGATAACATCTCATAGACTCTCACACACATACACATAACTATGTGGATAACTGGAGAAATTTGAAGAAATCCTGGACTGGACCAGTGTTAATTTTCTGGTTTTTATCTTGCACAATACTTGGGGGCGGGGTAGGGGAAGGTACATGAGAAGTCTCTGCATATTTCATCGTAATTTTCTGTGAATCTACAATTATTTCAAAGTGAAGAGTTAAAAGACACTGTAGGTCAGAAAGTAAGGGAGTGCTAAAAAAGCTCTTGACTTTGATGGAAACATGTTAGAGACACACAGGGTCTAGTGAAAAATGTCTCCCCAGCTAAAGCTGAAGCAATATGAGCAAAACATAGCTTAGATTATGGACCAAGACATAAAATTAGCACCCATAAGTCCACACACACACACACACACGCACACACACACACACACACACACACACACACACATGATTAAATACATAAATAGAAAAGGCACTCCTTCTTTGCAGAATAATTCTAAATAATTTATCTAGGTGTTTAACCCTAGTCTGCATATAACGAATTTCTCCAAAAGAATAGATATGGGGAGGGTGGGTAAAACCACAGCACAGAAAATGAAGCCTGATGAAGATCACCTGCTCAGGTCTGACTGCGTCGCCCAAACTCCTATGTTGGAATTTAACACCCAAGGTGATGAAATTAAGGGGTGGGCCTTTGGGAAGTGCTGAAGTCATGGGGGTTCTGCCCTCAGGAGTGGGTGAGTGCTCCTATGAAGGAGGTTGAAAGGCGTACCCTAGGGTCTTTGACCCTGGCCCCTTTACATGGGAGAACATAGCAAACGATGTCATTGTGGAGGCAGTGAGCATTTCTCTTCAATATTGATTTAGTCGCTGGCTTCTTGGACTTGGACTTGGACTTCTCAGCCTTCAGAACTGTAGGGAATATACTTCTGTTCTTACAAATCACCCAAGCTAAGGCATTAACAAAGAACAGCACAAACAGATAAGATGCTAGACTTAATAGACATCAAGGTCAACACAAATATGACCAATCATATCTATTCTTGCTATGAAATGTCAGGAATGACACTAAATCTCCATATTTACCACCTGCAAACCACCATATAACTATAAAGAAAATCAGACAAATCCTTCTAGAGGGACATCTTACAAAACACTAAGCAGTAGTCTTCGAAACAGTTAAGTCATTCAAAGCAAGGAGAGTTTGAGAAAACATCACTGAACATGCCTAGGGAGGCATGGCACCCCAATGTGAAGTCTGTCCCTACCTAGAGTCCAGGAACATTAGGGGAAAACTAAGAGATCTGAATAAACTCTGGACTTCAGCTGATAATAAGTTATCAGGAGTGGCTCATTAGTTATAACAGATGTACCATAAGATGTCAACAACAGGGACACTGTAGGGAGTGTATAGGAACTTTCTGTGCTACCTTCTCAAAACCATGTCATCAAATAAATGATTCCTCCCTTTCAGTCAGGTTTGTGTCAGAAATGAGGGTCTGAATGATGCAGTTTTGAGGAAACCATCTTAGGGATGGGTGTGTTGCTGGTTTTGTGTCACAGAACATAGACCTGTACATTCTCTGAAGTTTAGCAGGGTCAGTTTTCTGTTAGATAAATCGGTCAGGGAATTGCCACAGAACACACAGGAGGACTCCGGTAAAGTAAAGTTTATTGTGGAGGGTCTCAGGGGCTGGCATTCAGTTTGGGAGTAAAAACAACCAGCATCCTGATGACTGCTGGGGAAGTTCTTATAGGGAGTTGGGGAATGTGGGAGGTGGCAAAAATAATCTTTACAGTTTTGGGGGAAGCAGGGGTCTGCACATTGTGAAGCTTATCAGGGGGAAGCAACTTGATCTAAGACAGCTCTTTTGGTCATGGGGTCTTGGGTCATGGGTACAAGGGGCCTCTTTTTCTGTCTGCAGATGGTCAGCATAACTGTTGACTTAGCTCCTGCTTTCCATGGGGACCTGCAAAACTTGTTCCATGGGGGCTGGCAAAATTACAAGGTCTTGCTACACTGGAGGAGGGGTTGCTATAGGCCTGGACTCATCATTTTCTAGAGCCCCTGTTGGGAATAGGCTTACCTCTTCTGATTTATTCTGTGGCTCAATTCTAGTAGTGAGACTCAGTTAACCAGAATTGTCTGTTAGGCAGAGTTCCCATTCCAACCAAAATTTTGTCTTCCCTAGAACCCTCCACATTATTCTGTGAACTTTGCCTATGTAAGTTCTGGTGTTCATAACCATCCAGTTAGGTAGGAGTTGATGCTCCCTGTTTGGGATGGAGAAATGGAGAGACTCAGAGAGGTGACAGGTCACTCAGCTAGTGATGGGTCAGAGGCCAAATGCAGAGCTATGGTCTTCTCACAGTGTGACATTGCCTTGTCCATGACCAAGATGGTCCTGTTGAGGAATTTCACAGAATCTTGGACACAGACACTGTGTTACTCTATTTTTGATAGCTAATGTAACAGTATTATGGAGGTACAAGGTTGAGGGACTGATCTGGTGGTAGCCTTCTTGCTGGCAGAGTTCAAAGGTGGTTCAGGGAACCACATGGAAAGGGACAGAAAGTATATATGTGTGTGTCTTCTGGTTGCTCTCTTCTTTCTAAAGCCAGCAGGATTCAATGATAGGGGCTCTATCTTCATGACCTTGTCTAATCCTGAGCTCATAAAGCTTTTACCTCTAAGCACCATTGTCAGATTAACTCTCTAACCTTTTGATACCTCTCAAAGGGTATTAATTCCAATGTATGAGCCTTGAAGGACACCTGCAAACTATATGTAAACCACGGCAGTCAGAATTCCTTGTTCTTTCTCTGATCACTCCGCTTTGCAGAGGTGATGAATGAAGATTCAGTTTCTCTAATGAGTAAAGTCTTTGGAATGGGGAGGGGAAATGGATACCATCACAGGATACATGATAAAATCTATACTATAAACCAAGTTGGGAAGAAAAAAGAAAACAACAACTACATATCAGTCCCACTGTCCTTACTCCTGTTTCCTGGACAGACATAACTAATCAGTTCTGAACTCTTGCCTACATGCTGGTACTCAGCCTGACAGTTGCTGCCTCTGAGAGCACTGGATAGCTACCACTGTTTCAGAACTGACATAGAGATACTCCCTGCCCAGGTATGGGCACCATGAATTTATACTGTCAATATTTGGAAAACAAGAGCAGGTACAGTCTGGTAATCTCATTTGTGGCTAATGCTGTCATCCCAACACAGTACTATTCCTGTGATCTTTAATTAGAATTCACATTCACAACCATGCTCTCAATGTGATATAAGCCCATGGTGTGAGAGGGGGCAAGCATTGTAGGACTGCTAAATGTCTGGGGGGGTCATAGTGTCATCATTTTTAGTGATACTTCTTGGTAAAGCTTTATGGGAGTATGCTAGGGGGTTTGAAGCCAGCCACCCCAGAAAGGTGTATTATGGTTTATCCTTGGTAGAAGTCTGTGACAGAAATAATGCCTGAGGATGAGCTTTGTAGCACATAAGACTGTGATCTAGCACTTGTAAGAAGCAGAAATCACTAAGCTACAAACTCAGGATCAGCCAGAAAATGATGCTGTGATTCCTGGTTCACCTGTTGACCTCAGCAAGCCCAGGGGATCAATAAAATGAAGAAGGCCATGCCTAAATTACAGAGTATACACATTAATCTGGACTATGAAGCCAAGTTACCAGTGGCTAGGATTTATGGGATTTGTCAACCCTGCTAAAAGCTTTAAAATCATAACACTTCTAAGAGGCCCACAAGCTGGGCATTTAGCTTGATTTTTATTTATCGACATGTTTGTCTTTAGTTATATTTTCTCTTCCCGCTGCCACACCTCTATACTGAGAGATGACAGGGCCACACATGACCATAAACACATATGAGCATCACGCTCTTAGAGTGGGTGTAAGAAAGTTTCCCAGGTAGATAAGGATGGAACGGCCTTGGAACTATACCATGGTCCTTTCTTTCCTATCATTCCTAAGGATGTCACCACTTCTTTGTTACATTCTTTATGCTTCTTCATAAGGCAAAGAAGGGAGACATCCATCATTGCCTTGCCCCAACCCTCCTAACCTAGTCCAAGAAGCTTTGATGGCAGGAGAGGCCTCCACTGTATTCTATTAGGCAACTGCAGGAAAGCAGTTGATGTTTTGGGACATGGCACAGCCTCCTCTCTCTTGAGGGAGTGTGGTCCATCTGTGTCTTAGTCCATTCAGCCTACTGGAACAGATCACTCAAGACTGGTTGGCTTAAACAACAAAAATTCATTGCTCAAAGTCCTGGAGGTTGGTACTGGAAGTTCAGTCCCTGCTGAGGGTCTGCTTTCTGGTTCATGAAATCATCTTCTGACTATGTACTCAGGAAGATGAAAGGGACACAATAGTTTTTTTTTTTTTTTTTTTTTTTTTTTTTTTTTTAAAAAAAAAAAAAAAAAAAAGAGGACGATAAATCTTTCACTGTGTTTGGTTCTCTTTTAAAGGGCCCCAATCTATTTTTGAGTGTTCCACCCTCATCACTAAGTCACATACAAAGGCTCCCTCTTAACATTGTGGATAAGAATGTCAACATATGAAGTCTGAGCAACAACAGGTATTCAACCTGGAATTGAAAAAATTGCCCTGAGGATGGCTCACTGGTTAAGAGCTTATAGCACTCTTGCTGAAGACCTAAGTTCAGTTCCCAGTGCCCATGTTAGGTGATTCACAACTGCTTGTAACTCCAACTGCAGGGGGATCTGATGCCTCTGACCTCTTCAGGAACCTGCATTCGCATGCACATATCCACATACAGACAGCCACACATACACATAATTAAAAATAAAGTAAATCTTTAAGACTTAAAAATAAAAAGTTTACTGACAGGTTAAGTTCAGGGACTGCCAAGCTGAGGTTGTTAATGTTGCATGATGAGAAAGGCCAATCTCACTTTTTGATGCTGGGAGTTTAGTGAAAGATTCCAGGGACCTGAATGGCATGGAAAGTCAGCTTCTATCAGTGCTTCTACCTACTTCGTAGATAGGATGAGAGGTACAACAGGCTTCCTGGGGTATGCCTGGCTGCTGTAACCTTCCAGAGTTCTCATGAGGCCAGTTTGTCACCAGCCCATCAGCGTTATCTATTAGGTAAAGTTTGATGCTAGGTCACCTCTGAAGCTGTTAACATCACATTTTTAGAACTCAAACTTGATTGCCTTAGGCTTGGGCATTAATGTTTCTTTTTATGTGTATGTGGGGTACATGTTTGAGGTATGTGTGCATATGTCTGTATATCTGGCACATGTGTGTGTATGCCTGTGCGTGCAGGTGAGCACACTTTTGTATGTGGGTATGCACGTGTGTAGAGGCCAGAGGACAACCTCAGGCGTTGTTCCTTAGATGCTATCCACCTTGCTTTTGGATACAAGTTCCCTCATTTTCAGGGGCTTTGCCAAGTAGGCTATGCTGGCCAGTGAGCCCAGGGATCCTCCTGTCTCAGAGCTGGGATTACAAGTGTGCTGTTTCACATGGGTTTGGGGAATTGAACCCGGTCCTCATACTTCTGAGGCGAGCACTTTACTTACTGAGCCCCAAACAACTCATTTTTATTCTATAGAAGCATGTACCCATGTACAAAATGAAAACAGGTTCCAAATCAGTGTGCTGCTCCTGTGACAAAATTTCTTGGTCTACCCTGTAACTTGCACAGATGGACTTTCATGCTATGATAAATGACAATGTCTTTGTCATCCTAAAGGGTGGATGTGGCACATTATGATTTATAGGTTTGCCTTCTCTTGGGACCTACCCACTTGCTGATGTGTTTTTGGTCCTGCAGTGGGCTCTGTGCTGTGTTGCTAGGCTCTTAACCTGGCGTAGGGTTCCAAGAACATTTGTGGGGCACTCATTTCTCCCTGCTCCCCACTGTTTGCTGGCCTAAGTGGTCTCTGAAGTTTCTCTGTCCTCAACAGGTACCATGACAACCTGACACACTGGGAGGCTTAAGCAGCCACATCCACCTTCGGTGTCTCCAGGCTAGCCAGGAAGCCAAAACTAAACACAGAAGAGGAAGCAGGCCCCTTTCTGTCGGTGCTCCCCTCCTGCACTATTTCTAAAGCTGGCAGACACAGAAACAGTGTGAAGCTCCGATCCATGCCTGCGTTGTTGAATCAAGTCTGGAAACTGACAGATGAAAGTGCTGCTTGGAGATGCAAAATCAGGTTGAAAAGAAGAGTCTGGGTTAGAGCAGCCCCAGGTTTGGGTCCCAGAATCTTTTTCTTCTTGTACAGAGCCCCTTCCTCTCCAGGCAGGAGAACAGCTGGAAAGACCATTCCCTGCTGTGCCCCCTATGCCTATGATGACACTTGGAGGTATAAGATGCTCTATGAAGTACCACACACTGCCCCTGGGCTCTGGATGAATGAAAGCTGGTGTCAGCCTTATTAGTAGGTACAGTGGTTTGAATGTGAAATGCACATATGTTTGAACACTTGTTCCCTAGTTGGTAGTGTTGTCCCTCAACATCTACTGTAGTGGTGTTTTGGGAAGTTGGGAGGTTTAGGAGGTGGAGCCTCACTTGAGAAAGTGAGTCACCAGTGGAGTGTGGGCCTTGAAGTTTTATAGCTCAGTCTAATCCCACTTTCTATCTTCTTTCACTTTGGTTTTTTGAGACGTAAGGGGCCCTAGTCACATACTCAGAGCTGCCTCCTGCTGTGCCTTCCCTGCCATGACGGGCACCCACTCAAACTATGAACCGAAATAAATCATTCCTCCCTTGAGTTGCTTCTTGTCAGGGATTTGATCACAATGATGAGAAATATAGCTAATACAATTAGTATGGAAGAGAGTTCCAGGTAGGAGAGAGACTCGGGTGGTGAGGAGACCTGCTCCAAGGCCTATCCTTAGACATGGGGTCCAGTGTTAAGATGAGCTCTTTCAAGTGACTACAATCAGGGATCTTCCAGAATTGTCACAGTGGCCATAGAGTCCTGTGGGTTCCTTGAGGGCATCTTCTCTCTATCGTGCTCAGGTTGGCTCTTGAAGTCTTCATAAACTTATTGGATGACAGTTGGGTTTGTGCTAGCTTAGCAAAGAGGAAAAGGAAACTATTCACGTGTACAATGGTAAATATGTCCATGATGGGAGGCCTAGGGATGTGATTTTCTTTCATGCAAGACATTTGATAAACTTTGCAGGTTAAGCAAAACAGTGTCTATTATTCTGTGAAGTCATGCCCATGTCTGGTGTCCATGTCCAAGATGCTGAAGACAACTCCAGGTTGCTGGGGTGATAGCATCAGATAATTCTGAAATGCAGTTCTTGTGCGCCAACTCGTGTCCCCAACTGCAGAAGCTAACACATCTCCAGCTGCCTTAGGTTTGGAAGACATGAATGTTTCCACATGGCAATTTACTGAGACAGTCTGAATCACTTGCTTTGAGGATTTCAATTAATATAAGCTTCCCCCTCCAGAATATTTCCTACCCTCTAGTCTACCTCTTTCTTCAGGCCTTCTTGCTACCCAGACTTCCACTCTATTCATTCTATTTTCATTTCCATCTAGGGTCTCTCTACCTTGGATAGACATCAGTTCAGAAGGGCAGTAGCTGCTCCTCTAGTTTCCTGTTATGACCAATTGACTGGCAAGATACCGAGTGCCAAGTAATTGCAAATTACAAATACCAAGGTGAGAATTTTTTAAAATATATGAATTCAAGCCAAACGTGGTGGCGCACGCCTTTAATCCCAGCATTCGGGAGGCAAAGGCAGGCGGATCTCTTTGAGTTCGAGGCCAGCCTGATCTATATAATGAGTTCCAGGACAGCTGGGGCTACAGGGAGACCCTGTCTCAAAAAGCCAAAAAAAAAAAAAAAAAAAGAATTCAATTAATATTCAGGTTAGTGGTTGGCAGCAGAGAGGCCGTTGTTATGAAAATTCACACTATAGTAGAATTTCATGGCTGTTTACTTTTATTAATAATTCCACTTCCAACCCTGTTCAAGTGCCTGCCCGCCTAACTCCTGCAAATGTTAGAGGGTCTGTTGTTCTCCACAGGTCATGTTCCCTCCTCAGAAACTACAGTTAGACTGCAGCATGGAGAACTGAAGTGTTCTACAGAAGATAACACAACGGGCAGACCAGACCCCAAACTTCTGAGCCAAAAACCTTCCTTGCTTTTCAGAGAACCAAAGAGAGTAACTATGCTATATTGTAAAATCATAATGTCAGCAGTGTATCTATTGATGAGTTAGACTATTCAAATATTCTCAGGAAAGCATTTGTGGCTAGATTCCAAATATTCAGCTTAGATAGAGATCACAGAACCAAGAATGTCATCTGAAGAGGCATAGACTGGTCCTCCAGAAGGACAGATGATCGCTGACTACTTTATGCCACTTACATCCCTACCCCTGACTACGTAGTTATGAAGTGGGCTCAAGCTTTTAGTTCCAGCTGGAATTTTCTGCTTTACCCGAGCTAACTTCCCACCTGTGTTGAGAGCTGAGTTTTCAGGGAGAGCAATGTTCTCCTTGGAGCCACAAACACTGACCTGTAACAGATTAGTGACAGGGAGCCCCATGTCAGGAGAAATCATTGTTTTCTCAGGTTCTCTACTTTCAGGCGTCAAGAACAACTGAAACAAACACATTTCAGACTGGGTTTTTGTAGCAACTAGTACAGTACCAGGGACAGATGAAAGCTAAAACAAGCACCCATATGAAGGGAAATGATTAAAGTCTGATGATTTCAAAGACTCCTTTTAAATCTCTTTTTTAAAAATCGAGGCAATATACTTACATTATCTAATGATACCTTCCTGTTTCCTAGTGCTGTAACCTAATTGTAGATCTATGCTCTGTGTCCTTCTTGGATAAACAGACATGTTGAATGAATTTGTCAGATCTGGGATGCTGTATTAGTTACTTTTCTGTTGCTGTGATAAACAACATGACTAAGGCAACTTATAGAAGGAAGAGTTTATTTGGGCTCACAGCTCCAGAGGGATAAGAGTCCATCATGGCAGGGAGGCATTGTGGCAGAGGCAGCCAGAGCAGAAAGCTAAGTGCACTTATCTTCCATACTCACAGGAATTAGAGAGAGCAACCTGAAGTGGGGCAAGGCTATGAACCTTCAAAGCCCATCCACAGCAACCTACTTCCTCCCTCAGGGCCACCCCTTCTAAAGGTTCCATGATCCTCCCCAATAGCGTCACCAACTGACCAAATGTTCAAGTATATGAGCCTATGAGGGACACTTTTTCAAACCACCACAGATGCTGATGCTTAACATTGTTAAAATGGCAACAATTTCCAAATTGATCTACAGATTCAAATTTCCATCTAGATTGGCTTGCAGAAATTGACCAGCCAACCTAAAATGTACATGGTACCTTTATTAGTTACTTGTAGGAGGAAGGATTATTTTGGCTTATGATTTCAGGGCCTATCAGTCCATCATGGGCAGAGAAGGCATGACAGCAGGAGCAGCCCAGTCTGGGTGGCAGGAACTGCAGCCAAGGCTGTTCCCAGCTGCAGAGAGCTCAGTTTAATGGATATGATCTTCAAAAATGGGCTCCTACTGATCTACTTCCACCAGCAAGTCCCCTCTTAAACTCTGAGCAGCATTCAAAACAATGCCATAAAGTCTGGACCAAACATTGAACACATGAGCCTCTGCAGAATATTTCGGATGAGAACCGTAATGGAACCCAAATATTCAGAACAATATTGAAGGGCAGAGGTGTAGGGCTTATACTTTCTGAATTTCAAAATTTTCTATTGAACTTTAATGCTGAAAGCAGAGTAGTACTTGTATACTGTAGAACTATCAATGGAGAATTCAGAATGCAGAAATAAGTTGTTATAGTTACGATAAAGTCATTTTGGGGGGTCTTTTTGAGACAAGGTCTCCCTGTAGCCCCAGATTGCCTGGAATTTGCTATGTAGATCAGGCTGGCCTCCATCTCACAGAGATTCGCCTGCCTCTGACTCCCGAGTACTGGGATTAAAGGCAAGCACCACCATACCTGGCGTGGTAAATTCATTTTAAACAAAAACATCCAGATGAATCAGTGAGGAAAAAATGATGCTCAGAGAAAGTGGACATCAATGTGAAAAGGTCGGGTGGGTGTTCACCTGCCATTTGACTTTCCTAGGGTGAGATAAACAAATGCCTGTTCACCTAGATAGGGTGCCAACAGACCAAAGAAATTTCTACCTTTCAAAGAGCTCAACCTAAGTCTAGCTTGGTGAACCAGTGAGCTTATTAAGGCTATTTACAGCAGCATTGGTGAAAGGGTGCTTACAAAGATAGCTGGGTCACCAAAAAGCCCACCCAGCATGGGTGATGGATGACTTATGAAAACTTTGGTGAAGTTTCTGAGCCTAATAAGTTTCATTAGCTTCCTGAGTCTTTCGAACCTCCCACTTCTTTCCAGGTGGGAAAGCTCCATAAAATCCATTCAAAATAGATATACAACCTTATCTCACATGATACATGAAAACAGAATCCATAAGGAATCTAGAGTCACTCATAGTTAATACCTTACAAGAAAACATAAGATTAAATCTTAGGTCAGACAAGCTTGTCTTAAATATAACATGGAAAGCATAAGCAACAGAAAAATTAAGCTCAATTTTATCAAAATAAAAGACAATTCCCCAAAAAAACCAATTTAAAAAGAAATAAAAATAATTTCCATTAAAAATACATAATTAAAGAATGTAAAGACAATCCACAAACTCAGACAAAATATTTGAAAATAATTTATCTCATGAAAGACTTAAACCTAGACTGTAAAGAACTCTTGTGACTTGTGATGGTTAATTTTGGGTGTCAACATAACTGAATTGAGAGTTAGGTCTTAGACTTGCCTAACCTCATACTCTGTGGGTCACAGCCCTGCAAGGGGGTCACATAACTGGATATGGGTTTTGAAAATATTTAGTGATAATAAAAAGTTTCCAAATATGCAACATCCAAAAATTAATTCAAAATCAAATGTGTAATAAATTTGAGATGTTTGTAGGAGTGCTTGCCCGAGGTACCTTGCCAGACTTCAATGCAGCCTTGGTTCTGAACTGTGGACTGTGCTGTTGTGTGATATGGCACCTTCTTGACCATAGCTATGCTATGTTAAAATTTAGGCTGACTCTAGTCTCTGAAATTATCAGGCAGTTGGCCCCGGGTATGGGAATGCACATCAGCAGGACCCCAGTTGTCTTGGGAACAGGTCAGCGTGTTCCTGAGTACACTTGCTAACTGCAGATTTATGGCTTCTCTAAAATAGTAATTGTTACTTAATAAAATAGAAATTGTTAAGGGGGTTTTGCACCTGTAAGCTTGGGAACTTAACTTTTCATCCCTAATTATGGTTTCTCTGTATAAAAGCTTACCCTAGAGATGGCTCAGGGCTACACACTTAGGTTCTGACACCCTTGTGTAGTTGCTGGCCAGCAAAGACTTTCATTCAACAAAACTTTGTCTGAGTGGTCTTCTCTGGTGAAGGACCTCACAACAAAGGTGCCACACAATACCAGTGAACAAGGTCTGGCACACCTATGCTCAGATTTGAGACTAGTGTATGTTATGAATTACAGTGTTTTAAAAACCGTATATATGAGGTTTTTGTTCTAGAAACAATGGTTTAATAATGACAAAGGAAGACTTCTAATATTTTTTATACCATTATTTCTCAGCGTGGAGGTATTAAATTAGTGTATCTTCAGATTGTATGGTGTTAGAATGTTGGATTTTAAAATTTGATGTTTGAGTCACTGAGTTCCATTTAAAAAATCATTAAGGGGCTGGAAAGATGGCTCAGTAGTTAAGAACACTGGCTGCTTTTGCAGAGGACCCTGGTTCAATTCCCAGCACCCACATGGCAGCTAACAACTGTCTGTAACTCCAGTTCCAGGGGGTCTGGCACCTTCTTCTGGCCTCTTTGGGCATTCCAGGACACGAGTGTACTTATATGTAAGCAATACACTTGTACACATAAAAGTAAAGATAATTAAATAAAATTAAAAAGAAGAAGAAAGAAAGAGGAAATGAAAGAAAGGAAGGAAGAAATAAACAAACAAATTAATTAATTAATTTAAAAATATCCCTAAATAAACTTTGGCTTGGGATTAGGAGAGAATTTCCAACAATCTCTGAAATGGCCATAAGCACATGTCTACCATTTTGTACTATGTATTTTTGTGAAGTTATGTTCTTGGCATTGAAGATTATAAAATCTAAATGCTGCCAGGTGTGGTGGTACACACCTTTAATTCCAGCACTCAGGAGACAGAAGCAGGCATACCTCTGTGACACTGAAGCCAGCCTACTGTACGTAGCAAGTTCCAGGCTAGCTAGGGCTAAAGGGAGACTCTGTCTCAAAAAAAATTTAGATGCTACCAAGTGTGGTGGTGCCCACCTTTAGTCCCAACACTTGGGAGGCAGAGGCAGGAGGATTGCTGTGAATCTGAAGCCAACTTGGTCTATACAGAGAGTTCCAGGCTAGCCAGGGCTACCTAGTGAGACCGTGTCTGAAAAATCAAATCAAATCAAATCAAATCAAATCAAATCAAATCATCAAGTCAAATCAAATCTAAATGCTGATCAACTCTGAAAAATATCGAAGATGTTCTATGTCCTGCAGTATCAAATATTCAACCAAGATTTAATTCTTCATGCACAAAT